TTGGTTGACTTGAACTTATGTGGGCCGGCGAGAGACCAGCCGCAGGACCGTGCAACTAAAGTCAAAGTGACCACGACTGGTCCACAACTCTTGTGACTTCTCCCCTTGGAACAACCACTGAGACAACACTACGGTCAAAGCATCATCACCTGCCGCATCGACAACAGCAGGTAAGACTTTTTTCTTGATTGTGTGAGTCCTGATATGCTGGGTCAGCTGACGAAGCTTGGTTAATGATAAATTAACTTCTTTTTTTTCCTCAGAAACTCAGACAACCACCAGGGTTGTTTCCACCGTGACAGAGAGCACTACTGGTGCCGTCACACAACAACGGAAGAAGTCAAAACTACCACCGTCACAACTGCTGCCGGGCAAGAGCTGACCACTGTAAGCACATCGGTGCCCACTGTGTGTCCACAACGAACTCGGGCTAGTAGAACAAACAACAGGGGAAAGGCCACTATTGATGAGACCGCGGGAACCTGGAATGTACCAGCGCCCGTAACGGAGGACAGAGAAAAGACACCAAAGCTTCTGACCACGTTTTCTCAGCGATCAGTGGTCAACGGAATTAGGCTGACCAACGTGGCAAACGCCGATGGTGTTGCTCCTGTTGAGCCTGTGGTGTTGAGTATTATAGTCTCCTACAAGAATCCTGAAGACGAGGATTTCATTGAAGTAGCTGAGGATAACAAGTCAACCGGTAAGTTGTATTATTTTCACGTAAGTTTGGGATTTTGTCCTGGATTCATGATTTGACAAAAAAAATTGGCAGTTGCTGCGATGAGTCACCGTGATCACTTTTCTCTGTCACTTTACAGATTGTGACTGTGACTCTAGAGCCTGAAGTAGCCCAGACTTATCTCTTGCCTGAAGATGCATCCCTAGATGATGTGACCAGCATTCGTCTGGAAGTAGTGGGAATAAGCGGGGCCAAGTCAACCAGCCTGGATGTTGACATTTTAGGCTGCGTTAAAGGTAGGTGGCATTTTGACTTGTCAGGACAAAGAGAGATTTGACAGAGAATTTGCCACAGCTAAAATATTGAGGTTTTTTGGATTGACTGAATCTTCTTGTGTGTTTATCCCAGTACTTTCCACGGGAGTGCCGGCGAGAGACCAGCCGCAGACCGTGCCAACTAAAGTCAAAGTGACCACCACGACACTCTTGTGACTTCTCCCCTTGGAACAACCACTGAGGAGACAACTACGGTCAAAGCATCATCACCTGCCGCATCGACAACAGCAGGTAAGACTTTTTTCTTGATTGTGTGAGTCCTGATATGCTGGGTCAGCTGACGAAGCTTGGTTAATGATAATTAACCTTCTTTTATTTCCTCAGAAACTCAGACAACCAGGGTTGTTTCCACCGTGACAGAGAGCACTACTGGTGCCGTCACAACAACGGAAGAAGTCAAAACTACCACCGTCACAACTGCTGCCGGGCAAGAGCTGACCACTGTAAGCACATCGGTGCCACTTGTGTCCACAACTCCAGGCTACTGCCTAGAACCGATGGACGAACAGGTCGGGCTGGAAGTAGAACAAACAACAGAGGGAAAGGCCACTATTGATGAGACCGCGGGAACCTGGAATGTACCAGCGCCCGTAACGGAGGACAGAGAAAAGACACCAAAGCTTCTGACCACGTTTTCTCAGCGATCAGTGGTCAACGGAATTAGGCTGACCAACGTGGCAAACGCCGATGGTGTTGCTCCTGTTGAGCCTGTGGTGTTGAGTATTATAGTCTCCTACAAGAATCCTGAAGACGAGGATTTCATTGAAGTAGCTGAGGAGAAGACAAGTCAACCGGTAAGTTGTATTATTTTCACGTAAGACTTCGGATTGTTTCCTGGATTCATGATTTGACAAAAAAAAAATGGCAGTTGCTGCGATGAGTCACCGTGATCACTTTTCTCTGTCACTTAACAGATTGTGACTGTGACCCTAGAGCCTGAAGTAGCCCAGACTTATCTCTTGCCTGAAGATGCATCCCAGATGATGTGACCAGCAAGCATCGTCTGGAAGTAGTGGGAATAAGCGGGGCCAAGTCAACCAGCCTGGATGTTGACATTTTAGGCTGCGTTAAAGGTAGGTGGCATTTTGACTTGTCAGGACAAAGAGAGATTTGACAGAGAATTTGCCACAGCTTATTGAGGTTTTTTTTGACTGTTCTTCGTTGGTGACCCGTACTGTCCTTGCGAGAGACGCCAGCCGCAGACCGTCCAACTAAAGTCAAAGTGACCAACCACCACTCTTCTCCCCTGGAACAACCACTGAGAAACAACTACGTCAAAGCATCATCACCTGCCGCATCGACAACAGCAGGTAAGACTTTTTTCTTGATTGTGTGAGTCCTGATATGCTGGGTCAGCTGACGAAGCTTGGTTAATGATAAATTAACCTTCTTTTATTTCCTCAGAAACTCAGACCACCAGGGTTGTTTCCACTGTGACAGAGAGCACTACTGGTGCCGTCACAACAACGGAAGAAGTCAAAACTACCACCGTCACAACTGCTGCCGGGCAAGAGCTGACCACTGTAAGCACATCGGTGCCACTTGTGTCCACAACTCCAGGCTACTGCCTAGACCGATGGACGAACAGGTCGGGCTGGAAGTAGAACAAACAACAGAGGGAAAGGCCACTATTGATGAGACCGCGGGAACCTGGAATGTACCAGCGCGCCGTAACGGAGGACAGAGAAAAGACACCAAAGCTTCTGACCACGTTTTCTCAGCGATCAGTGGTCAACGGAATTAGGCTGACCAACGTGGCAAACGCCGATGGTGTTGCTCCTGTTGAGCCTGTGGTGTTGAGTATTATAGTCTCCTACAAGAATCCTGAAGACGAGGATTTCATTGAAGTAGCTGAGGAGAAGACAAGTCAACCGTAAGTTGTATTATTTTCACGTAAGTTTCGGATTTTGTCCTGGATTCATGATTTGACAAAAAAAATTGGCAGTTGCTGCGATGAGTCACCGTGATCACTTTTCTCTGTCACTTTACAGATTGTGACTGTGACTCTAGAGCCTGAAGTAGCCCAGACTTATCTCTTGCCTGAAGATGCATCCCTAGATGATGTGACCAGCATTCGTCTGGAAGTAGTGGGAATAAGCGGGGCCAAGTCAACCAGCCTGGATGTTGACATTTTAGGCTGCGTTAAAGGTAGGTGGCATTTGACTTGTCAGGACAAAGAGAGATTTGACAGAGAATTTGCCACAGCTAAATATTGAGTTTTTTTGGATTGACTGAATCTTCTTGTGTGTTTATCCCAGTATACTTTCCACGGGAGTGCCGGCGAGAGACCAGCCGCAGACCGTGCCAACTAAAGTCAAAGTGACCACGACCACTCTTGTGACTTCTCCCCTTGGAACAACCACTGAGGAGACAACTACGGTCAAAGCATCATCACCTGCCGCATCGACAACAGCAGGTAAGACTTTTTTCTTGATTGTGTGAGTCCTGATATGCTGGGTCAGCTGACGAAGCTTGGTTAATGATAAATTAACCTTCTTTTATTTCCTCAGAAACTCAGACAACCAGGGTTGTTTCCACCGTGACAGAGAGCACTACTGGTGCCGTCACAACAACGGAAGAAGTCAAAACTACCACCGTCACAACTGCTGCCGGGCAAGAGCTGACCACTGTAAGCACATCGGTGCCACTTGTGTCCACAACTCCAGGCTACTGCCTAGAACCGATGGACGAACAGGTCGGGCTGGAAGTAGAACAAACAACAGAGGGAAAGGCCACTATTGATGAGACCGCGGGAACCTGGAATGTACCAGCGCCCGTAACGGAGGACAGAGAAAAGACACCAAAGCTTCTGACCACGTTTTCTCAGCGATCAGTGGTCAACGGAATTAGGCTGACCAACGTGGCAAACGCCGATGGTGTTGCTCCTGTTGAGCCTGTGGTGTTGAGTATTATAGTCTCCTACAAGAATCCTGAAGACGAGGATTTCATTGAAGTAGCTGAGGAGAAGACAAGTCAACCGGTAAGTTGTATTATTTTCACGTAAGTTTCGGATTTTGTCCTGGATTCATGATTTGACAAAAAAAATTGGCAGTTGCTGCGATGAGTCACCGTGATCACTTTTCTCTGTCACTTTACAGATTGTGACTGTGATTCTAGAGCCGCCTGAAGTAGCCCAGACTTATCTCTTGCCTGAAGATGCATTCCCTAGATGATGTGACCAGCATTCGTCTGGAAGTAGTGGGAATAAGCGGGGCCAAGTCAACCAGCCTGGATGTTGACATTTTAGGC